ATTTGGAGAGATTATGGCTTAGATTTTTCCAGAACTGATAAGATACAAATCCACATAAGCGACTGCCTTAGATACAGATCGACATGGTTCTGTGCTTAGTCGCTCAGTCATATGTGACTCTCTGTGACCCTTTGGACTGTAGCCCTCCAGGCTCCTCTCTCCATGGAATTTTTCAGGAAAGAATACTGGAACGGGTTTCCATTTTTCTTCTCCAGGAGATTTTCCCAACACAGGGATCAAACTCGCATCTCCTGTGTCTCCTCCACTGCAGGCGGATTCTTTACCCTGTGAGCTATTCGGGGGAAGCCCAATTCTTTATCAGTCTTTTGATAAAGAAGCTTTTGACACCATAAACATGTTGCCCAATAACTGGTTACGGTTTGGGCCAGTTTTATCGTGAAGAATAGCAAGGTTAATCATTCATTTAGTTACTTTCACATGGTAACCATATTTCTACATACATTGGAGTGATAGTCCCACTTACCCATACTGTGATAGTGAATCATTATATGACCTCTGTGAATGTTGAACACAAAAGAGCATAAACTTAAATGAAAGGGAGAATGCAAAAAAGAGGAGATTCTTATTCCTTCTTTGCTCATTCCCATACATAGAATGAAAAATACATCATTTTAGATTTCTTAATTTACATCTTAAGAGTTACATGGGATGTGAATTTGGCCATTGCCTTTAATCAAAGGATTTTAAGGGTCTCATAAGCATATTCCATAATCCTCTAAACACTCTTCATGTAGTTGAACTGGCAGTGAGATCTCCATTATAGAGAGGAGTAAATGGAAGCACTGTATACCAAATGATATTTTTGTATCCATTCAGAAATGTCTTACTGGTTTACAGGCCAGTATTATTATCAACTTTATGAAGCTTAGTGTGATTATGTGATTTGCCCAACCTTAGAGGAAGAATTTGGCATAACATCAAGGCTCCCTGAGTCTTATCTGCCTTACTAATTTTATCTCCTCCCCACACATACACACACTTAACCTCAGCTCTGCTACTCAAATCATATTTAATCCAATGTTTTAAATGTCCTGTAAGGGATGATGGATTACTGTTAGTCACAATTGTGGTTACTTATGAGGGAGAAAAAAAACTGAACAGGATGGGACAAAAGAAGGGTTTGGGGGCATATATGACACACATCTCCCATTCAAGTTCTAACCAGGTCGGACCCTGATTAGCTTCTGAAGTCAGATGAGATTGGGCTCATTCAGGGTGGTATGGCCATAGACAGATGGCAAACTTCTGTTTGTTCATCCTGGGTGATGGTTACAAGTGTGGTTGCCTTATAATAATCCATTAAGCAATATATTTGTTTAATGTTAAAAAAGAGAAGGTCCTGTAAGGGAACCTTAAGTCATGTAGCTTCATGAATCTTTGAAGTATCATTCCTGGTTCTTTATTAAAAATCAAATGATAGTTTATTTTTTTCTAGAACAACTTTAAAAAAAAATATTGTAACTGCTATTAGTAATGTTGTATACTAAAACTCATGCACTTGTTCTGTTCTGATGAATTGTTATTCATTTGCCAAGTCATGTCTGATTTCTTTGTGACCTCATGGACCGAAGCTTACCAGGCTCCTCTGTTCATGAGATTTTCCAGGCAAGAATACTGGAGTGAATTACTATTTCCTTCTCCACAGGCTCTTAGGGATCCAATCTGTGTCTCCTGCATTGGAAGGTGGTTTCTTTACTGCTGAGCTACCAGGGAAGCCCCTCTGATGAGTTAGAGAATCCCAGTCAGGATATTACCATGTGGGAAGCTAAATAAAATAGTGGACGATGGTCTTAAAGAGTAATATGGCTAATTCTATACAGTTACTCTCTTTACCTGTTGATATGAAACTGTAATATATATCTTTATCTTTCTTAAATTCTCACCAGCAGTAATGCTGGTAGCAAACAGAATTTTGATCCCAGTGAATCTAAACCTAGTACACCTAAAGCTGGACTTACATTCAAATTGTGGGCATAGGTATAGATTTGGGTTAAGGTGGAAATGAAAAAAAAAAAAAAAAAACCTGTAGAATTTAAAGAGTTACCCATAAGTGGGATGTAATTAGGAAATAATAGGTGGGATGTAATTAGTATATAGTGAGGCTTCCCTGGAGGCTCAGTGGTAAAGAATCTGCCTGCCAGTGCAGGAGACACGTATTCGATCCCTGGGTCGAGAATATACTCGAGAAGGAAATGTCAGCCCACTCCAGTATTCTTGCCTGGGAAGTCCTATGGACAGAGGAGCCTGGCAGGCTACAGTTCATGGACTTACAAAAGAGTCAGACATGACTTAGTGAAAGTGTAGTTCTGTGGCATTTAAGTACAGGTAACCCTTGAGTAATTTGGGGATTAAGGACACCAGTTACAGTCCACTTACAGATTTACAATCAGCATTGCATATCCCTTGTTCCACATGCACGGATTCAACCATTTGTGGTTGTGTAGTACTATAGTATGTATTTGTTGGAAAAATAAAACTCAAGTATAGGTGGATCCTCACAGTTCAAACTCATGTTGTTCAAGGATCAGCTGTACTTTCACATTGTTGTACAGCTGTTACCATCATTCATTTCCAAAACTTTTTTTAATCTTGCAGAACTGAAATTTTCTGTCAAACAGTAACTCCCTATTCACCTCTCCTCCCAACCCATGGTGACTACCTTTCTATTTTCTATCTTTATGAATTTGACTGCTTTTAAGCACCTCACTTGAATGGAATTATATAGTATTTGTCCCTTTTTGATTGGCTTATTTCACTAGCATAATGTCTTCAAGGCTCATCCATGTTGTAGTATGTGGAATATCTTTCCCTTTAAGGCTGAATAATATTCCCTTTTGTGTGTGGGGTGTGTGTGTGTGATTGTGTGTATACACACACAGATATGTATATGCCAAATTTGTTTTACTTATTCCCCTGTCCACAGACACTTGCACTGCTTTCACCTTTTGGCTATTGTCAGTAATGCTGTTATAAACATGAATGTCCAGATGTGTCCCTACTTTCAGTTCTTTTGGGTATATGTTCAGAATTGGGATTGCTGGTTTATATGTTAATTCTATGTTTAATTTTTTGAGGAACTGACAAACTATTTCCATAGCATCTTACCATTTTACAGTCCTATCAGCATAAGAGTTCCAGTTCTGCATTCTGAAAAACCCCTGTTTTCTGGAGGTTTTTTGGGAGGTGGGGTGAGGTTGATGGTCGTCATCCTATTGGTTGTGAATTGTTATCTTGTGGTTCTGAATTCTCTAGGCCAGAATACTGGAGTGGGTAGCCTTTCCCTTCTTCAGGGGATCTTCCCAACCCAGGAATCAAACTGGGGTTTCCTGCATTGCAGGCAGATTCTTTACCAACTGAGCTATCAGAGAAGCCCTGATAAAACCGGGTTCGATTCCTGGATCGGGAAGGTCCACTGGAGAAGGGAGAGGCTACCAACTCCAGTATTCTTTGGCGTCCCTTGTGGTTCAGCTGGTTAAGAATCTGCCTGCAATGTGGGAGACCTGGGTTCCATCCCTGGCTTGGGAAGATCCCCTGGAGAAGGGAAAGGCTTCCCACTGCAGTATCCTGGCCTGGAGAATTCCACGGACTGTATAGTCCATGGGATCCCAAAGAGTTGGACATGACTGAGCAACTTTCATTTTCACTTTCACTTTGAAGTTTTATATGTACAAAAACGTCTCACACACTTGAATAGGGTAATATATATTCCAAAACTAAATATGTGTGCTTTTTTGAATTAAGTGCCATTTTTATTTGTTCGTACCTCTGTTCTCTTGCTTCATTGAGAATTCACATTAAATATATTTCAAGTGGACTTCTAAAAGATATGAGTAATTCTTTAAACCAATTTAGTTAATCTTAAGAAATAATGTTATTTATTAGGCTGATGTAGATATAATAGGAAAATTAAATGAACTATTCTAGATAAACTTTTGTATTTAACATTTATTGCTGAGTAAATTTTATAAATTGTCTATTTCTTCTATTCTTGCTCCTGTCACTTGTTTGAAATTCAGTAGTCAGTTATTTATGCACAGTCATTTTCTAGGATCTATAAATTTTGTTTTGTTTTCTGTAATACAAGCTATAATAAATTTTTTTCTTTATGCTCAAATTCTCTTAATATTTTAAGTAATTTTATTTCTTTTTCTCAGAGATTAAGAAGATACTTTTAATGCTGCATTTGTCACCGAGAAAACTAGTTTTAATTTATATTGACCTTTTTCTCCTTTGAGCATTTAATCTGCTTTCAATAAAATGTTGATGACTGCTCTTTAGAAGACAGCTGTACGAAATAAAGTATTATAAATATTCAGCTTTCCTTTCTAAGCTTTGTCACCAACAGCTGGGCATCCAGTTTAGCAGAACAGATTTTGCACAGAGAGAGCCTGGCATGTTCCTGAATCAGTATAGTGAAGGAGACAAAAAAGTAGTTTCTTATGGATTGGGGACTTATAAAGACATAGAGCATCTGTTACTCAGTTAAGTCATAGTCTGGTTGCACTGAATCATGTTTAAAGCTAGAATAAAGTGTAAAACTTTTTCACCTTGCTCATACCTTTATTTTAATATCTAGTATATTATTCTTGCAAATAAAATGCTTTCAACGTCTCCATTGAAGGTATGTAAATGATTTTGCTCTTATCTATAATTTTTCATTAGTGATATTTTAAAACACAAAGATATTAATTTTTTACTAAGTATTTTATTATATAACTTTAATGTTTGAATTGTATGATAGTGCATATATATACAACTCATATAAAAATCCATTTAAATATTTAATTATGATTTCATCTTGATATATGCTATTAAGAAAACAATTTCCTCATTGTGAAAATTGCTTTCTTCATAGGTTTTCTACTTTAGTTGTTGAAAGTAACTTAAAATGGAATCTTTGTTTATACAGATTACTCTTAAATACTTGGCTTACTTGAAGCATATTAAATCTAAGATGTCTTTAAATATTTTGTTTGCAGTGTTAAAAGATCACTGAAATTGGATGGTCTGTTAAAAGCAAATGTAAGTATTTACTTGTGACTTTGTAGTTGCATAATAACATAATAAGATTGTATTTTTATTTTTTTAACAGCTAATTTTCTCTTATACTAAATGTAAGAAGTATCAGAAACTCCTGTGACATAATTGTTATTGGCACACCATTTTCTACATATAAAATTTGTAATATATGGAAATTCCTTGCAGGCTTGAGATTTTTATTTAAGGGACAAATTGTTTAGAAGCCTTAATGAAATAATTTAGTAGAAAAAAATACTTTGCAACTTAAATGCAGATAAATAAAGATGGAACAGTAGACAGTGCTTTAATGTACATTCTGTAATCTGCTAAATTGAAATAAAACATTAACAACATTTTTATATCAAAAAGGTAACTACCCCCTCACCTCGCTGACATGGTTAAACATAAAATACTAGCACTGTGATAACTTTCACCATGGTTGTCACAATAAGAATAAAATTGTACTGTTGCTGTTACAGTTTATAAATCTTGTCATAGCACATTCCCAATACCAGCATATCATGACATATGCTAGTTTATTATCTGTTTATTATCTTTTCATACCAACAGTGGATCTAGATACAAACACTAATACTAGGATACTTATGGCCTTAGTAATCTTAAATGCAAATGAATTGGTGAGAAAGTAAATAAAAATAAATAGCTAGTCAATAAATAGGCTCCTGTATGAGATCCCATATGAGAATGCCATTTCAAGAAATGGGTATTATATGGAATTTCTCTTCAGAAGACTCACTGGTATTTAACAATTTACCATTTTTAAAACTTCCTAGATGCTTTTCTAAAAAATTTAAACAAAGGTGGCAAAATACTGCAATGCCACTAAAAAAATCATTAGCTGTATAATTAGCAATTTAAAACACCATTATCCAACTTGTTCTGTACAGAATGCAGCTGTGACTGTAATTTTGCATCTGTTTCTTTGGTCAGAATGGTATTTTGGTAGATGAGTAGTCCAGCTTGAAATGAAATACAGTTCTTCTCTGCCCCAAGACTGTTCTTTGGGAGGTGGTAACACCATTTGAGTGAAAGAGAATGGCCATTTAGGAATTCATCCTTTTCATAAAGTACAGTTGTCATGGATAGCTTTCTATCTAGTTTTTCTCCAGATTAGGATATTTCAAGGTAACCATTGAAACAGTGAATATCCTGTATTAGAAAAATACATTGTTATGTTTGGCCCAGTTCTGTACCTTTAAACCAGTTGACAGTACCACATGGCCACCAACTGCTAAATGCGGGTTCCTTAAATCCTAGCCAGGGCCTTCAATATTTCTATTTTCTAACCTACTTCTAATACATATTATTATTTCTGATATTTTCAGCTTTGGTACTTTTGCCTCATCATTTATTTGCAACTCTATCTTAGATCTGACAACTCTTGCTCTGGCGCTACATCTAGGCTTCTCTCCTTAGCTATATTTATGCATCTGTCTACTCCAGTAATAATTTAGCCCTGAAGCAGTCTGGTTCCCAAGAATCTACCTATATGCCAGTGATTCCTTTGAGGCTGCCTTAGCCCATGCAAAGGAAAATCAGACATTTAAAACCTTACCTACAATTGCTTTGAAGCTACAAAGGAAGTCATAGTAACTTTGTGGTCATTTTGCCTTACCGGCGTGATGCTGAAAGAAGACAACTGTGGTGTTGAAGGAAAGGAGATGGCTCTTAAATGCTAGTTGGTTGAAGTGTAGTCTGTTCATCTTAAACATCTAGTGTTTCCTCTCCCAGAGATGTTTGGAACTAGCAAATCCCAGTGTTCCCAATGTGGTTACGGACCTTTATGAAGATAAATGCTCCATGATGTTAGGGCAAGTCTGCAAAAGTAATTTTCCTTATGAGTCCCCTAGTAGGAAAAATAGAGGTATGGCTCATCCCCTGTGATCTTCCATTTCATATACAGTCTATCTACTACAAGTACTACTATTTGCTAGTCCTCCCAAATTGTTGAGGGTAGTGAGGAGTAATAAAGGTTTTGATTTCTCATTACCTACAGTATTGGGGTTGCTCAAGTTATTACCCTTCAAACACTCTTTTTAGATGAATTTTCAAAGACAAAGTTGAATTATTTATTACAAATAATTTGAAAATTGTTCATTACAAATAAACTACCAGTGGCAGTTCGGATGAATTTGTAGGGACAGCTGTAACCTGGTCATATACCTAGCCAGCTTGACCTAATCTCTTTCAGGCTACCTCAGAGAAGGAACTGGAGAGCAGATGCTGCAGATGGGAAGGGAAGGAGCATACTTCCTACCAAGGCCAGCTTAATAGGCATTCTGCCAGAAGGAATGGCAGTGCAGGTTTAGGGGAAGTTTGCTGATTTGGACATGCATATCCCAGTCGAAATTACTCTGTTACCATTAGTAGGATACTCCTAAGTCTGATTATTTCCATTATCTCATCTCTCTGAGACAAGACTTTTCCTGACTCCTGAAATTAGAAAGAACATTGGATTTCAGGGCTTTAGAAAATACGACAGCTCACATTCTGTAGGCTCAATCATTGGTCTGGCTCATGTCTGCTCCTTTCTCTTCTCCTTCCCTCCTCTTGCCCTGCTTTTTTCCTTACCTTTTTATTATGGAAATTTTTGAACATATACTAAGATAGAGACAATAATACAATGAAGTACCATGTAACCATCACCCATCTTCCAAAATTATTAACATTTTGCTAATTTTGCTTCATCCATCTCTATATATGTACATATATATTTATATATGTGTGTATGTATCTGTATATTTTTCCCTGGAATTTTACAAATCTCACACATGTTACTTCATTAGAATATTCTTCAGTGTGCATTTTAAACAGATAATGACTCCTTTCATAACTATAGTGCCACTATCATAACTTATAAAATAAGAAGTAGCTCCTTAATAATATCTTTCACCCAGTCCATATTCACATTTCTATGGTTGTTTCAAAATGTCCTTTTATAGTTGGCTTGTTAAAATCAGGATCCAAGCAAGATTTCCACATGTAATGGTTTTTATGTATCATAAGTCTTTTTTTTGCACCAAGTCTTTTAAAAATCTCACTCTTTTTCTTATAATTTATCTTTTGGAAAAAACTGAAATATTTTTTCCACAAGTGTAGTTCACATTCTAGATTTTATTGTTTTCTTGTGTTCTTTAGAAAAGTGATTTCTCTATTCACATTTCTCTATTTCACAATTCACATTTCTTCACATTTCATATAAAACGTCATTAAAGCTAGAGGCTTGATTAGATTCTGGTTCATATTTTTGCCAAGAATGCCTCATAGGTAGTCTATGTATTTCCTCTTGCATTACCTCCACAAGTACAAAGTGGTCTTGGTTTCAAGTGTTACCAGCCTGATTCACCCATAGTAAAATTCTCTGTCAGTCTTTCTCCTAATTTTTTTTTTTAATTCATTAATGATTATTTTATAGATTCTTTTTTCACTACAGTTACCAAATACTGATCCCTTTTTTGCCTTTTGATTTTGGAGAATTTTGATTATAGAGAATGCACTGCCTACTATACAGCTTCAGTAATTATCAACACAAGGCTAATATTGTTTCATATATGCTCCTATGCATACTTCAGTATCCCCTGTAGTAGATTATTTGAAGCAAATCTCAAACATTACCCATATCATCCATAAATACTCCAGTAATTATTTCAAAAAGATAGACTTTAAAAAAGGTATAGTATTACACCCCACTCCCACCTCTGCTATGATCCCTGCAAAAAAATCTCTCTCAAAATTAACATTAATTCCTTAATCCTTAAGTGGACATCTTTGCTCAAATTCTCCCAATTATCTCATATATGTTTTTTGACAGTTCAGTTCTTTTTAAATTTTAACATTTTTTATTGATATTCATATAATATAAAATTCATAATTTAAAAGTATATACCAGTGATTTATTATATACTCATTGCATTGTGCAGCCATCACCTATATCTGATTTCAGAACATTTCCACCACCCCCAAAAAATATCCATACCTATTAGCATGTTAGTTACAGTTCCCTCCTCCTCTCATTCCCTGGCAACTACTAATTTGCTGTTTCTGTGGATTTGCCTATTCTGGCCATATTATATAAATGGAATCATATAATATGTGGCCTTTGGTGACTGACTGCTTTCATTTAGCATAACATTTTCAAGTTTTATCCAAGGTTTATCACATCGTAACAGTACTTTATTCCTTTTTATGGCTCAATCTTATTCTTTTGTGTGGGTATATCCCCTTTTGTTTATCTGTCCCTCAGCTGAAGAATGGACTTCCATTCTTGAGTGCTGTTAGTGGTGAAGAAACCCCCTGCTAACGCAGGAGACACAGGTTCTATCCCTGGGTCAGGAAGATCCCCTGGGGGAGAGCATGGCAACCCACTTCAGTATTTCTGCCTGGAGAATCTCATAGACAGAGGAGCCTTGCAGGCTTTGGTCCACAGGGTTACAAAGAGTCAGACATGATTCGAGTGACTTAGCACATACATACAGCTGAAGGACCTTGGAGTTGTTTCCACTTTTTTACTATTACAAATAATGTTGCATATAACATTCTTGTACAGCATTTTGTATGAGTATGTTTTCAGTTTTCTTATATACTTGGGGTGGAATTGTTGAGTCATATGGTGATTCTAACTTTTTGCAAAATTGCTAAACTCTTTTCTACAGCATTTCACATCCCCACTAACAGTATGTAAGGGTTCCAGTTTATCCACATCCTTCCCAACACTTGTTGTTATCTGACTTTTTGATTCTAGCCATCCTACTGGGTGTGAAGTCCTATCCTGTTGTGGTTTTAATTTGCATTTCCCTGGTAATGTTGAACATCTTTTCATGTGCTTATTGGCTATCTGTATATTTTCTTTGGAGAATTATCTCTTCAAATCTTTGCCCATTTTTTAATTGGGTTGTCTTTTTACTGTTGAGTTGTAAGAATTCTTTATATATTCTCAACACTGTTACCTTATCAGATACATGATTTGCACGTACTTTCATCAG